GAGATGTCGACATCCCAGAGGCTCCCATTCTGGCCTATATCTGTGGACCAGGTTCCTAGGCAGAGTCAACAGGTAGGGGGAGAGGAGACAAGAGCAGAGCACTGAGCCTGAGATTGGAGCCAGGGGTTTGAATTTAATTCTAAGTGTAATGGAAACGAGGGCCATAACCTGAGCCGATTTGTGTTTTTAAAAAGATCTATCAAGTCACTGTGTGGAGAACAGATCATGAGCAGGGAGCCAGACTCGAAGGTGCCTACATGATGACCTGGATGGATGAGCTGAGAAGATGGAAAGAAATAGTCTGATGGGTGAGGGTGGAGGGGTCACATCCCTAAAACATGCTGAAGGCAGAGAAATCAAGGATGGAATCTGGGTTTTTAGCTTTAACAAAGCAAATGATAGTGTCAAGTTTTCGAAGAGGAAACAAACATAGGAAAAGCAGTCCTGCGAGTGTGTAACATAGTAAATTCCTTAGTCAATATCCCTGAGTGTGCCTCTGAGGGGCAGGAAGGAGACAGACACACTTGGGAGGAAAAAGGCTGCCCAGGGACCATGAGAATCCCTGTTGTGTTACCTCCTCAGCCTGGTTCAGTTGTGCCCACTTATCACTGCCGCCAGAGCACCAGACCCTTATGCACAGGCCATTGGGCAAAACCCTATGGAGAACCGGGAAATGCTGCGATGAATGAGAAGCAGGAGCTATGGGTCCAATGAGAAACAGCCATGTACAAAAGTAACACCAGGCACCTGTTCACTGCAGCATTGTTCACGGTGGCCAAGACATGGAAACAACTAAAGTGTCCTGTGACAGAGGACTGTATAAGGAAGATGTGGGACATACACACAATGGAATACTACTCAGCCATAAGAAAGGATGAAATAATGCCATTTGCAGCAACAGGGATGGACTTTGAGAACATTATGCTAAGTGGAATAAGTCAGACTGAAAAGTCTAAAAACCATACGATTTCATTCATTTGTGGGATATAAAACTGAAACTTATGTTTTATATAAACACAAAACATAAAACCCAGGGAAGAGGGTGTAGAGAGAATGGGGTCCTAATATGAAGTGACAGGAGAAGATTTGACATTTGAGTGGTGGGCACACAATATACAGATCTTGTAACATAGAAAGCCACACATGAAACCTGTATGTTCATGTTAACCTATATCAACCCAATCAATTGAATAAATAAAATTTAAAAAACAACAAACAGAAACCCAAATCAGAAACACAACAAAACCTCAGGCAGAGATATTCCCGGAACCAGACAGACAATTCCTGAATATATACTACTCTATGGCCAACTCCATCTCCTTGAAGTGGCTATAGAAAAACTCTTGAGCTCCAAATGGGGACAAAACAGTCACATGATGACCTTGGCTCAGAGTTCCAGGTCCTCCTCTCAAAGCTTCACAGCATACAGCCAGTAGAGGCAGATTGGAATCAGAGGGCTGGACTCATAGGGAGAAACTGACTTTCCAGTCCGGGCTTGGCTCTGTGCTGGGCAAAGGACTAGATGTTTGCATCTTTTTTTCTCATCCAGTCTTCACTGCAACACTGTGAGATGAATGCTAGCATCACCATTGTATTGAAAAGTAGCCTCAGAGAGGTCAATTCATTTGCCCAAGGTCACACAGCTTGAGTGCAGTTTCACCCTCACGGAGCTTCCAGCGAATCACCCAGCCTTATTCCTTATTGAATCCCCACTGTCCTGCTCACAGCAGGGGCTCAGGAAACATTTGTTGCATGGATAACAAATAACCCCACAGCTTGTGTTTAATCATGAAGGCAGGCCATTCCCTTTGACGTAAAGATTGAAGAAGCTGCCTTCGCCCCAGGTTTCTGGCCAGTGGTGGGCAAACTCATTAGTCAACAGAGCCAAATACGGTATCAACAGAACAATGATTGAAATTTCTTTTGAGAGCCAAATTTTTTAAATTTAAATTTATTCTAACACCACTTCTTCCAAATAGATGCGTCCAGGACAGTGACATTTTGTGGAAGAGCCACACTCAAGGGGCCATAGAGCCACATGTGGCTTGTGAGCTGCAGTTTGCTGACCACAGCTCTAGGGGATAAACCTTACCTACAGTGCCAAACCATTTTGCTCCATAGTAGTCTAAGTCCCCAGGCTTAGAAATCTTTGGGAAGACAGGCTGCCTTGGGGTTCAGTCTCACTGGTCCCAACCGGTTTCTGCCTCAAGGGTGATGAGGTCTTATGAGAAAAGCGGGTAAGGGCTCACTAGCTCTCTGGACTCACCAGGGGACTGGCACCTGCAGCCCTGGTGTTTATATTCAGATTACCTTTGATGGCATGCCAAATTGGTGACTAATTACAGCATGTCCAAATAAGGCACTTTAATTATAGCTCCCTTAATTCCAAGGAGAACTCTGCGTGGAAAACAGAGGAGAGAGTGCATACATAGCTGCTCGCTCTGATCTCAGAGCCCGGCTTGGTAAATGAATTACCAGGAGAGTCAGTGGCTTATTCCATTAGGCCCTGATAGGACATTGCTTTGTAACTGCTGGGAAGGCTTCCCAAGGGAGGGGCTGCTTGCCATCTTTGCAGCCAACCCTGGGGAAACGTGGGCGTGCAGGGAGGCTGACCCTGGCTTGGGCTCAGGCTCCTGCTCCTTCCCTGCCTGGGACAGCCGCCCCGCTGTAATGGGATTTCTGGGGGGCCTTGCTCTTTCCGCCTGAAACGGCAGACTCACCCAGTGTGCTGTCTCCTGTTGGGAATCACTCACTGATCTCGGCCGCCTCTCGAGCTGCACAAATTCAATTCAGAGCTTTTGAACTGGAGCCCTCCCGGATTTCACGGGTCCTTAGACAGGTGTTCTGTCTATATATAATGGGACTCCTCCTTCCCCTGCTGCTAGGCTACAAATGTTAAAGAAACAGCAGCCGTTCGGCGGTAAAGTTTAATGTTGGTAAATATCTTATTTCAATCACGTTTAATACTTTCTGCAAGACGAACTTTGGAAGACCATCAAGTTTATCCCCTCCCTCTCCCCATAGGGCCTTAAGACCTAGAATCAGTTACTTTGTGATTTCCATGGAAGACAAAACATCTTTCCGTAGTTTGGGCTCCTTCTTATCCTCTGGCTCTTTACATGCAACATTTCCTCCAAAACAGAACTGTTCTGGAGTTCTCTTGCGGCTTTCCTACCTGTCACTGTGATTGTAATACCAATAATGAGAAAACCTTACCTACAGTGCCAAACCATTTTGTGTAAGTGATCTCACTTACTCCTTAGAGCCAGTCCTGAAAGGTAGACAAAGCAGCTCTAGCTATGGCTCCTCTCACATTATAGTCTAGCTCAGAGAGGTGAAATCATGGCCATGCCATCAGGTAAGACAAACGTCTGCATTATCTGACGCCATCCCAGAATCTTTACTATGTTGCCTGTCAACAGGCTTTGTTTTGACCACAGCACTTTGTTTCTCGGCTGCCCAATCTTCCAGAGAAGGCCTTCAGCTGATTCTTGGAGTTTCCTTTTCAAATATGCATACTGGATTAGAATCAAGACCAATTCAAATGGATAAATATCTCTCAATGCCTGTGTATGCATGGCTCTATGGTGGCATTCAGGGCATTTGGAGATGGCTCAGAGGGCGAAAAGCATACTGCCTATGCATTTTGATTCCAGGCAGATCTAATTCAAATCACAACCCCTCCTGGGACCTTGAACAAGCTACAATCAAAAGCTCAAGATTAAATGAGATAATGTAAAGTGGCCAGCAATCTTGATAGCGCTAAATTAAATAGTCATGATGCTTCGTGTACATTATCTCTTTAATCCTTACAACAGCCCTTAGGAGGTAGGGACTATTCTTGGCCCCATCTTATAGATTGGTAAACCGAGGTGATTGGCCAATGGTTAGGCAATGCAATTTACATCCAGATCTGCCTGGCTCCAAACACAGCTGCTGCTCTTAATCAATGTCAGGAGCGGTTTCTCATGAGGAAGACAGGACTGCTTGCTGTAAACTTATGATTATGGCATGAGCTTTGGATCAGGGATAGTGGTCACTGTCATTTAGACTCAGCCCTCCTACCCACTGGCAGGAAAAAAACAAACAACACTTGCCACATTCACTTCCTCCTATTTACCAAGTGTGGTATGATTAAAATACAAATCCTCTAGGAAGTAGGCCTCACTTCAGATTCCTTATGCCATTACGGGTTTTTGTAAGGCATAGAGTCTGAAATCTCAATTACCTCTTAAGGGGATGGTTGAAAAATTTGACCCAAAAAACCAGGCCAAGAGTTGACCAAGCTCTCCAGGCAGCTGTTACTTATTAGAAGAATCGCCAGTGCCCTTGAGAATCCAATAACATGCAATTATTCTCTCCATACACAAAAAAAGGCTACATGAACACCCACACACAACTGTATGCACAATTTCAGGGGGTTGACTGACATTCCTCCCCAACCCCACTGTCCATTTGTTACAGAAACTGGAGAAGAACCAAGCAATTCTTAGGGGGATGGAGTTACATTTATTACGCGCGGGTCCAGAGGAAAATGTCTCTCAAATTCTGGGCCCCAACATGGAGGAACTTTCCCTATTTATATGTTTTTACCTTCTTGACCTCCCACATATGGGGTGTTTCCAGCCCCTTTTGCAAGTTCTTAAAGAGAGCCCCATTGTGCTGGGGCCTTGAGACCTCAACCAAAGGCCTGGCCTAGTACCACCACTGATAATTTTATCCGAGGAAGGTTTAATGGCCCCTCTGAAGTGGGAGTAGTCTTATTTTCCTTATTATTTAAGCAAGCAAGCATTTACAGAAGCCAAACAGCAGGGTTAAAATTTCAAACAGCATTTCTTTTTTTTTTTTTTAAATAAGATAGATGCTTCACATTTGCAGACTGGCTATCTGGAGTCCACAGCCCTGGGATAGAATCTGAGGTTTAGCATCCTCATCTGTCTATCTGGGTAGGAGTGAGGATAAGATGAGATGACCCCAAGGAAGAGCCCCATGCCACTTACCTGTCCAGTGTGCACCAGCCCAGCACTGGGACAGCTCGCGACAAGAAAACAACCACATAACTGAGCAAAAAGGTCACCACCAAGAGGAGAGAGACTCTCCTCAAATGAGCGACCACTCCACAGGTAAGAGCAATTTCACTGCCCATCTTGCGGGCTTTTTCATTAGCCTCAATAAGGAGCACTTTGTGGTGCCCTGGAGTGAGTGTGGGGAGGGCTATTGGAGCCACTTGTAAATGTTAATGGCTCTCAGACCAGCTTCCCTCTGGCTAATTGCTGGTGGAATTGATGAGCCAGCAGGCTCTCCGCCCACCTCTCCCTCTCAGAGCTGAAGCTGCTACCCTGTGTTTCCAAGCCCTCCTTAGTCCCGCCCATTTCCACCCAGGCAGGGAGGCTGCCCACCATGCCGCACAGACTACACTTTGATTTAGAGCTTAGTGAGGGGCTTTCCCTGGGGAAGAGACCTCCATCCGGTGACTCTGAGGGCTTTAATACCTTGCTGTTCACACCATGGTCCATGAAACCAGCAGCATAGTCCATGAAGGCATGTTAGAAATGCAGAATATCAGGTCTTACTCTCAACTGAGAATCTGTGTTTTAATAAGGCTCCCCAGGGTGATTCTGATATGTGTGCAAGCTTGGAAAACCTTTGGTGGGGGCGAGCATTGTTCTAATAATGGAATTCCCCTACACGCTTGCAGAGCCCTGGGAAACTTCAATGCTCCTTGGGGAGATCTGACTCTAAAAATAATGCAGTAGGAATAATGAGTACCAACAAGTTTCTCCCATTGTTAATGCTTCACAAATTCCACCAAGTGCCCAGGTGGCTGCAGGGCTGACTCTTTGTTAACTGTTTTTATTACAGCTCCATCCTCCTTGCTAAAATCCATTCCTCCTCTATTTTTCTGGATAACACTTGTTTTAAGAAGAAAACAATTGTGAGTTTGAGTCTTGGCTCTGCCATTCATTTGATTCCAATAAGCTTAGGTAAGCTCCTTAGCCCTTTACGTTTTTAAATTATTTTTGTACTAGAGGCCCAATGCATGAAGATTCATGCAAGAATGGGCCCTCCTTCCCCTGGCTGCTGGCACCACCTTTGCTCTGGCAGGAGTAGCCTTTCTGCCTTACCACACTGCCCAGAGGCCTGGAGCTGCTGGGATGGTGCGGAACACCTGCCTCCAGCAGCTCAGTGCCTGTATATGCAAATTAACCCACCAGCTTTGTTGGGTTAATTTGCATATTCACTCCTGATTGGCTGGTGGGCATCACAAAGGCATGGTCAATTAGCATGTTACTCTTTTATTAGATAGATAGTTTACTGATTTCAGAGAGGAAAGGACGAGGAGAGAAAGATAGAAACATCAACAATGAGAGAGAATCATTGGTTGACTACCTCCTGCACACTCTTCACGGGGATGGAGCCTACAATCTAGGCATGTGCCCTTGACCAAAATCGAACCTGGGTCCCTTCAGTCTGCAGGCTGACACTCTCTGCACTGAGCCAAATGGGCTGAGTCTTCTTACCCTTTTAAATCTCCAAATTCTCATCTGTAAAATGGGAATGAGGATAATTACCTTCATCACAGAACTTGTTAGGGTGAAATGGAATGAATATTAGCTCAATCCCGGGTTTCTGGTGGTGAATCCTCAATAAATGGCAGCTCCATGGTTTTTTCAGATAGGACAAGGGCTTCCATGTCTTGGCAGTTCTAAATGTCATTTCTTGCTAAATATTAAAATGTAGCACAGTATTTTGTAGATGCAGTTATAAACAGGAGCTCAACCAGATGAAAGTAGCCAACTGCAAAGAAGAAATCAGCATGTAATTAGCCAAACAGTGTATAGAATCAGTGGCTAAGCCCCGTTTTGGGGAGGCAGAGCTTTGGATGTGAATCCCCCATCTCCTTTACTTGCTGTGAGTAAATAAAACTGCCTTGGACAGCCTTGTCTAATTTTTGACTAGAGCACCCCAAGTGGTGAACTGCTTGAATTTGGGAACTGTTGTATTTCTTTCATTGCTGCTCTTAGTGTAAGTCCCTAGAAGACCCTGCTCTGCAAGGACAAAAGCTGAAAATATATTTTAAAAAAAGAAAAAAGCCGAAGCTGTCTTCTGACTGCCCAGCACATGGTAGACTTCTTAAAAATTTGTGGAATGAATGCTTGATCTTCACAACAGCCAGCAAACTGAGCCAGGCAACATTTTCCCTATGATAGAACTTAATAATTGCAAGAACCCTGGAAGGTAGGTTTCATTTCTTCCAGTTTATAGATAACAGCCCTAAGGTTCTGGATTGGGAAGGATATTGGCCCAGGGTCACACAGCTGGTTACTTCTCTCCCTTCTGATCCCAGACCCTCTTTGTTTCACTCCACTTCCTCCTGGTTCATTTTGATAGTGGGGAAGGACATGTAATAAGAATAGAGCCATGGTGGTTGTTTTTTTTGTTTGTTTGTTTGTTTTGTTTTTTAATAATTATTCACCTTACTAAGTATAGACAAAAGGTTTTCTTACAGACCTTGGAAACTTGAGGATGAAACAAGCTTGTAAAAAGATGCCTCAGTGGGTCCATTGCTCAGAAAGAAATACATTTTGAGAACAGGCCAAGGACAGGACATGCTTTGATTTGGTTGCTGTGCCCGGACTCTGACCCACTTTGGGAGTTTTTCTCAGGAACCCTGACCATTCTCCAGTCCCAGGAATGAGCTGAGCTGTTTATAATATCATAGGAGAGTAGCCACCTTGTTGTCAGCAGACCCTCCCCTTCCCTTTTCATGTTATACTTGCAGCTCTCAAATGCACGTAGCTATCTTCACCTCTTGTGTATATAATCAGCCAACTGGCGAGGGCATCAGAACAGAGTTTCCAGGGTGACCGACTGCTCTCCCATACTGCTGACATTATTGGAATAAATGCTCATATATGATTGGACCCTGTCTCTGCTTAATTTGGCTCAAATAGTGACAGGCAGCCTTGTATCCATTGTGTCAGGTTTCAGTTTCATCTTAAATTTGTAGCTTCCCTTTAACATGTGTCATGGGTGGGAAAGAGGAAATTGTTATTGTTGTCTTTGTTCACCAACCACTGAGTAGTAGCTAATGAGAGAGAAAAACAAAACAAAACATTTTTTAGCATCTACTCGAATTCCAGCCTGCTATCCTGCAAACCCAACTGTCCAAAATATTATTTCCCAAATTCTAATCTTTGATTGACCACCTGCACCATTTTGAGCACCCAGGCTATTTATTTTCTATTCACCATATCAGCTCACTTGTTTTACTTAAATATGTTTGTAAAATGAGACAATCATACTGCCACCAATGCAAATCTAATATACTTTCCAATAATAGAAAGTATTATAAAAATAAATATAATGCAAACAAAATTATCTTTATTTCTAGGCAGACACTGTTGCCTGCAGAAGGCTCTAGGTCTAAGGTCTTCTTTCTTTTCCTCCAAAGTGAGAGTAACAAGTGATGGTTAGTGCTTATTTGTCCTTGACAACCAAGCTTTAAAAAAAAACAAAACAAACAAACAAACAAACAAACAAACACCTAATCAGGAGGATTGGGAAACAGGAAAAAGCAATGAAAAGAGAATGCACTTATCACCATGTGATTCAGTGCTATTTAATGCTCTTCAGAGTCAGTGAAATCATTTCATAAGCTCCAAAGAGTTCCATTCCCTGGGAAACAACACTCTGGTACATGCTATGCCATTTGATGCTTTTTTAAAAATATTTTTTTATTGATTTTATACAGAGAGGAAAGGAGAGAGATAGAGAGTTAGAAACATCGATGAGAGAGAGTCATCGATCAGCTGCCTCCTGCACACCCCCTACTGGGGATATGCCCGCAACCAAGGTACATGCCCTTGACCGGAATCGAACCCGGGACCCTTCAGTCCCCAAGCCGACGCTCTATCCATTGAGCCAAACCGGTCCCGGCACCATTTGATGCTTTTGTTATTCAGTAGCATCAAATGGCTTCAAGACAGGTAGGCCTTGAATCCTCAACCAGTGTGTCCATTGTCTAGTAGACAGATAATGGACCATGGACTCTGGAAAAACTGCCCAGACACTTAATATTTGTTGACCCCAGAGAAGTTACTTTACTCATTTTGCCTGAGTTTTCTCATCTGTAGAAAGAGGATAAAAATAGTAACCATCTCAAATAGTCATTGTGAGGATTAAATGCCTAGTGAAATACTTAAACAGTGCCTGGCCCATAGTAAGTGCATTTCAAATAAATACTACCTCTGCCACTGCTGCGTCTGCTGTTACTGAGGTTTTGATGTGCTCAGGGCAGAATATTACAACTAAGTCCTTGCCTATGATCCATGTAGTAACTCTTCACCTGTTTGAGGACTACTATCTAGATCTCTTACTCTTCTGAGTCTTCAGACTAAGCAATTTCTGATGTGGAGGTCTCCTCAAAAGGAAGAACAGCTGTCCTGCCCAACTCATGGTTGAATATCGACCTATGATCCAGGAAGTCATAGTTCAATTCCGAGTCAGGGTACCTGCCCAGGGGGTTGTGGGCTTGATCCCCAGTATGGAGCATGCAGGAGTCAGCTTATCAATTGAAAGAAGGCTGTAATCAAGACTCTCTCAGTGTCCCCACAACCATTCTCTCTCATCATTGATGTTTTTTTCTCTCTCTCTTCCTCTCCCTTCCCCTCTGAAATCAATAAAAGAACCACAGGAATGCCAAGAGCTACACTAACTGCTCAACCCTTCCTGGAGCTTTAGAATGCTGCCAAATCCCAGTCCAGTTGTGAGAGCCACAGGAATGCCCAGAGCTACACTCTCAGCATCCCCACAATGATTCTCTCTTGTCATTGATGTTTCTCTCTCTCTCTTCCTCTCCCTTCCTCTCTGAAATCAATAAAAGTATTGATTTTTTATTGATCACCGGCCCTGATCAGCCCCGTTTGCTCGCCAGGGCAAGGAACCCCTCCGGTGCAAGAATTGTAAGACTTCCTGAGCTTTTTGAGTGAAAGCTTGTCTTACCTGAAAGATGAATAATTTTGAAGGTGCTTACTTTGTAGAAGGACCATATCACTTATCATCTTAATGAGGATACCTTTAAGAATGAAAGGGGGTACTAATACTGGAATAATAAGTATAAAATGGGACTATTTGGGGAAAATGAGGATGTATGGTCGCCTGGCTTCTATGATTCTATGGCTACCAACAAATGCT